CTGCCTGGCTTTTATCTGCCCCCTAAATTATATATGACATTGACTTGCATTGTGAAGCAGTGTTCACAAGTAACATAGGCTGCAGCCGACCGGAGGAAGAAGAAATGGATTTTGCAGGAACAGAGTTTATAAAATGGTAATGTGTTGGACTATGTTGGTTCCTCTGGGAGTGACTGATTAGCCAGGTTACAGGGAGCAGTATCTTCTCTCCTCGTCCTCAGCCAGTTTCCTCCTATTGCCATAGAGCCCTATTTCAGCTGCTGGGAAGTAGGGGGGAAACTCCAGTCAGCCATGCTCCAGTTGTGAAGGCCCTGGAGAGGAATCCAATGTCTCCCCATTGCAGTAACTAGACAGGGAGAATCTTGGGACTGGTGGAGCATTTGAAGACCCAACAGAAGAATGTGGCTGGGCTCTTCTTGGAGAGCTCTATTAATGTTGGTGGGTATTGTCCATATATTTGCAAGCTCCATGGACTACTGTATTACTTGCTTTTACTGTAAAGAAACTATATTTGTGGGGTTGTTCATGGCCTTGAAAGGATGTCCATATGAAGCTTGTAGGAAGGATTATATGTAGGGTGTGAAAAGGGAATCATATAGTCATGTTTTCAATCCACCAACATTAACATACCAGCCTTACTCAGGCGGATGAGCCACCTTACCTAACCTGGAAAAGGAAGATGTTTGTAAATTGTAGGTGCTCAATATTAAAAGAATGATCCAGGATGCTGTAAATGTCAGAGCTGCAACCAAAACTTAGCTGAGATATTTGAATAGCTATGTATCTCAGTCCAATAGACCTTCATAGGTGAGAAAAATCTTATCCCTATATATTCTCAAAATCCTATATGTTTCTCTCACCAGCCTTCTTTGGGGCTTTATGTGAATTGCTCACTGTGAGAAAACCCAGGCTGAGGAGGCACAGTTTTGATTCTGAACAGCACCTTGAGATGTTTCTCTCCTGAATTCTGAAATCCACCTCCATTCTTCCCCAGGTCTCACCTGTGCTGAGAATTACCTCTACACACTGGTAGGAAAACCCATACAGTGGCCCTTTTATCTGACATTTTTTCTGGACCTTTGGAGTGTACTTCAGTGAGCTAATGCAAGATACATGCTCTCTGTAGGTGTCTAAGGTAACAGAAAGAGATTATGTTAAGTGCTTAGTAAGAGGCATTTTCCATTTGCAGCACTCAACTTCATTTAGCTCTAATGCATGAAAAAATTGACCCACGTGGGTCTTAATCTAGCCATTTAATTGTACCCCTGAAGTGTCAATGTGATGAGCATCACAGATTTTGGCACTGTTGACATTTCTTTTAAGCAGATGACAGTTTGAAAGGACTGCAGCATATCCTTTTATCACTGCATCAGATAAATATGTTACTGAGTGATGGAAACAGCTTTACACACTGGCAAGTGACAGAAAAGAAAGTGGTGGGGAAAAGGCACAAAAGGCAAGACAAATTGAAATAAACAAAGGAGCATAACAGATACAAGTATTCTTAAAGACTCTCTGATGAATTCACACCGTGAATAACTGGTGCAGTTGACCAACAGTCATCAGTGAGGAAAGGACTAGACCCTTAAAACTTTCTCAGAAATGTCTTTAAAACAGTGGATCCTGGACATATATGGTGGTAAAGCTGAAGGGACCTTTGGTAAAGCACGAGAAGGATGGCTGTGACAGCACAGGATGTACTCTCCCGCACCATTTTTTTTAAGTAAAGCATTTTGTTTGTTGGCCTAAGAGTCTGAGCCCTTTCGGCACTGCAGTATAGTGCTTTCTGAGATAGAAAGACCTAGGAATTTTCTGGAAACAAACTTTTTTCATGCTCAGAAGCAAAATTTTCTAAAAGTGGTTTGTGGCAGAAGAGGACAGGAATGGGCAAGGAAAAGATCTGGAAGAGGATCACCAGTAGTACAGAAAATATGAAACCTGTGACTTTAAGGGGCTTGGGTTGTTGTGGAGAATTGCCAAATGAACATTTTTCTGAAAATCCTTAAGATTTTCAACAATACATTGTAACACGGACAACATGCTTTCTCATGCCTCCAAATTATTTGAAAAGCTGGCACCTAGTGAGAAACTCAGTTGAGACTGCAAAGCATGGAAAACAGGCATCTATTGAGTCACCTGAAATCAGGCAGCTGAATTTCCATATTTATCAACCTAGATAACCAAAATACACTGCCAGCTCAGGAAGATCTTTGTACGGAGAATCTATTGTAGCGTTTTATATCTCAGGTTCTGTAATTGCTGATTGCTTCCTCATTGTGTACTTTCAGGGTGTGAAAAACAGAGTTTAAATGCAGATAATGCTAATTCAATCACATGCAGGCACCTGTCTAGCGTATGTGTGTTAGCTTATCACTGGCTATCAACTAGCTTTCAGATAACTTGGCAGAGTGAGAAAATCCATTACCAATGTAGCAATAGGCTTCCAAAAAGCATTAAAATGGGACTCTAGAAACAGTTCATATGAAAAACGCTGCCTGCATCTAAGACAGCTTTTGGTCTCTTCATAGGAAATTAGTTAGAAGAAGTGATAAATTTAAGGACACACTTACTGCAGAAATAAAATAATTTATTAAAAATAAAATATTACCCTATAAATAGGGTAATGATTAATGGAGCTGGTTCAAGCTGGAAGCCTGTAACCAGTGGTGTCCCCCAGGGGTCAATACTTGGTCCAGTGCTGTTCAATATATTCATCAGTGACCTGGATGAAGGGACAGAGTGTATCCTCAGCAAGTTTGCTGATGATACCAAACTGGGAGGGGTGGCTGACACCCCAGAGGGCCGTGCTGCCATCCAGCTCTTGTGGCCAGGAGGGCCAACGGAATCCTGGGTTGCATAGGGAAGAGTGTGGACAGCAGGTCAAGGGAGGTCATTCTGCCCCTCTACTCTGCACTCCTAACAGGGGTTAAGTTTCTTGACAACTCCTAAGTCTTCTTTCTTTCTCTCTCTTCTGTTCTCTCCCTCCTTCTTGGAAGGGGAGTCAGGTTAAAGAGGCCATCTGTGGGTGGGTTTAGTGGCCAGCCCAGCCCAAACCACAGCAGGGGTGCCCGAGAGCAAGCTGCCGGCCAGAGCAGAAGGGTGTGGGTGCCTCTCTCCTCGCCTCCGCTGAGGTGGGGCTGGGGCTGCACGATGCAGTCTCTCCAAGGGCAGGCGTCAGAGCTCCTCCAGGGAAATCCAAGCAGCAAAACTCATTCGGCACCTACAAGGCAAGGACAGAGGCAGAAAGCGCTGATGAAACCACGGAGGCGGGAGAGGCGGGACTCTGTCGCCCGTTCTTTGGGAAGTCCAATGAAAAAAGGGTAGTTCCTGGCACAGAGAGAGAGCCCTTCTGAGCAGTGGCTGCGGTGTGGGCCTTTCCAAAACCCGAGCAGCAGCATCCCTCACTGTGCCTTGCTAGAAACACAGCTTAGAGGGCCAAAGATGCTTCTCTTGTACCGATTGGTTGGTTTTGTCTCCCTTCCGCTACTCCGAGCAGTGTTCAGAGCTTTAAAGGATGGACAGCAGAGTCTGCCACACACCTGGGCTCCTCGTTCTTCTTGCCTCCTTGGATTTCCTCAGTTGTCCGTCTCGGAGAGCTCTTTTTCCAGCTTTCTTCTCTTAACCTCTGGTTGACCGTCACCCTCCCTTTCAAAGGTTGCCTTTCGCTTTCTGCTGGAACGTGAGGAGCCTGGCAACCTTTCCATGCAAGAGTATTGTTAGACGGGCAAAGCCACGGTAAACTGGAACCCATTCTGCTCTTAAAACCAAAGCTGTCTCATTTTACCTTCTCTCCTCGGTCAACCTCTGCACGTGCTCGCTTTCTGGAGCTGCTGGAGGCACCTGCAACAGAAATGTGGACTTTATCAAGTGGCCAGGACCTAGCTGCCCAATTTGGTTGGGTCATGCTCTCTGCGGACCTGACATACTTCTACTGCTTCTGCTTTTACCTCCAGTGCTGCTGACTCCGTGCCTGATGCCCCGGCAACCACAGCCTCCTCCTCCCCCTCCAAGAGTTCCTCGTGGTGTTCAATGAGGAACTCGACCAGCTGCGTGACCTGCACAAAGCAAACCATTGGTGTCATGGCTGAAAACGGGTCCAAGAGCCTCTCCCCCTCCGGACCCTTGCTTCTCTGCTGGGACCGGGAAGCTGTAGCCATCTGGTAAGCACAGCGTACCTTCTGCGTCACCTTCACTAGGACGTCGAGGGGGAGGGTCTGCTCCTCAGGTGGGCTGAGCAGGTTTGGCCCCACACAGATGGCCAGGTTGGCAGCACTCATCCTGCTGGTGCCCACGTTGCTGCTGATGGCTTTCAGCAAGGACAGCAACTGCTTGAGGAGCAGGAGGTTGCTTTGGGGCAACTTGCTGGCCACCCTGAGAGGAACAGGCACACAACGTTAATAAAGCAGACGCTGTCACCGCAGGTCCCCCAGGCTGATCTCACCCAAGCCTACGCCGGGGAAGGCTCCCTGGCCAGGCCTGGTCTCCAGCAGAAGGACTGCCTTCTCTGAGCTACGGCTACCTCTTTCCCTCCCTGCTCTTCTGACCAGAGTCCCTTCCTGGAACAACCCACCATGCCTGCCCCAAGCGCTCCAAGGAGAGAAATGCTTGGCTGTGCCACCACCGTGCCCCCAAAGCCCACCCCACAGCAGCCAGCCGTGCCCGGCAGAGAACACTGCTGTCTCAAGGAGGCCGTGGCTTTGCAGGCAAGTGCTGGCCTCTGCCAGCCCCTGGGCAGCAGCAGGTGCTGGCCACACTTACTCTTTGAGCGCTGCCAGCTTCTCCTGCCTGCTGTCCTTCTGCAGGGCGCTGATCCACTCCTCATAGAGCTCTGCCTGGAGGAGCTTGGAGGGGATCCTGCGCAGGAAGTCCTGCAAGGCCAAGGGCTCCAGGTGAGGCTTGGGGCACTCCTGGCGGGAGCAGGGGCAGCCTCCCCGTCACTCTGGCTCAGGAGCAGGCGGCTGGCTTTGGGTTCCTGCCCATCTGCACCAAGCCAGCCGGGAGCTGCCAGGCCCCAGGGGAGCAGGCTTCACCTTCAAGATGACGGCCAGCAAGTGCGCAGGCTGGCTTTCCAGGTGGACCTCCGCTCCGGAGTCCAGGGCCTCCCTGAGCTGCCGGGAGGCCTGCTCGCCGGCCGCCAGCCGGAAGATCCCCTCCGTGGATGGCCCGTGCTGGTGCAGAAGAGCCAGCAGGTCCTGCAGGGCAGAGGGGAGGAGAGTTGGTGGGCTGTAGACGGGCTTTGGGGCAGGTGAAGGTAGCTTCGGGGCAGGAGCAAGCGTGGGCAGCTCTGCGGCTCTCCGTGGGGCAGGATGGAGGGGTGGGTGAGATGGGGAGGAGCGGGCTTTGTCCCCGAGCCCCAGCTGGGTTCCCTCTGCTTGGGCCAGCGCCTCTGCAGAGGAGCCAGAGGGCTGGGCACCCCCTAGGCAGGCGTGCTTACCTGGATGGGCTGGGGAGGGGTGCCATCCTGGCTGCAGAGAGCTGCCAGGGGCCGGCCAAAGAGAACCCCGCTGCTGCCAGAGCCCGACGGCCCGGGCGCTGCTGCAGCGGCCGAGTTCCCTCGCCGGCCAAATGGCCAGGGAAGAAAGCTCCTCCTGCTGCCGGTCCCACCTGCTGCCAAGGACAAGAGGGCAAAGAGGCGTGGAGGAGGAGAAGTGCCAGGTGAGCGCTCCCGCACCCTCTCAGCACTGTCCCCCCTCCACCCAAAGAAGGGGAGAGGGGTGGTTTGGGAAGAAGGGGCTCTGGGGGCTCAGCTCTCTCCCGCCGCAGAGCCGTGGGGATGGACGTGCCCTGCAGGGAAGGCAGCAGCAGCCCCGCTGCAGCACCAGTGCCCGCCTGCCAGAGGAGAAGGGCCCTGCGGTCCCCGTCTCCTGCAAACTCACCAGCTGTGTGGCCAGGTCCGCCTTGGCTGGCAGAGGAGACGGGAGCTGGCCGCTGCTTGGCACCAGCCTGCAAGAAATGCCCTGTGCTCAGCCAGCAGCCCCGCAGCAGAAAGGGCCCGCGGGGAGCTGCGTCGGCCCCTAGCCCTGCCAGATGGCAGCCCGAGGCAGCCTCACCTCTGCCTGCCGCTCGACCAGCCTCTCCAGGCTGCTGGCGTGGAGTGTGGTGGCCTGGGCAAGGGCAAAAGAGCAGAAGGTGAGAAGCCGTGCCCCTGCTGCCGGGCTGCAGCAGGCTCTGGGGACAGAGCGGAGACAGGAGGGACACTCACGGCATTGCGGCGCCTCAGCTCCTTCCGCAGGAGCTTGATGGAGGGCACCTGGGTGACGCGGGCTCCCTCCACTCCTGCTGGTGGCCTGTGCACAGGGACGGGGCAGAGAAAGAGCAGTGTGAGACCCCAGCTGCCTTGTCCCTCCCCCGCCCGCCCTGGGAGCCCCTTCCAAGGTGCCCGCAAGCAGCCGGGCACCCTCCGGCAGTGGAGTGGAGTGGAGAGCAGCGGCAGTGGTGGGGCCGGGGCTGGGCAGGTGTTGGCTGGACACGGCTGGGTGAAGCAGCTGCCCCAGCTCTGCCCGCTGGAGAGCTGCCCACAGCCGTGGGGGCACCTCTCCCCAGCTGGGGAGGGCCGTTTCCCCATGGTGGGGCTACGCCTGGAGCATCCCCCCGGTGCTGGGAGCAGGGCTTGCCCAGGCTGCACGGCCGGGCAGGGCTTACCCAAGGAGGGCGCTGAGCCAGAGCTCCTTCACCACCCGGGAGCTGCAGACAGAGAGGGGAAACAGCCTGAGTGCCCGCTGCGGCACAGCCCTGCCCCGTGGGGACGGCCACAGAGGCAGGACAGAGCCCCCAGGGGACGGCCACAGAGGCACCCCCCAGCCCTGCCGTGGGGACGAGGCACCCAGACTCACCAGAAGGTGACCACGCAGGAGCCGCAGGGCCAGAGCAGGACAAGGGACTTGGCGTCCTTGCCCTTCTCCTCCGTGGTGGCATCGCCAGCTGCCCCCTTCCCGCTGCAGAGCACCTGCAGCATGGCCAGGGCCAGGCAGAGCTGCGGGCGCGGGGCGCTGCCACGTCTGCAGAGAGGAGCGTCAGGGAGTGACCTGGAGGTGGCCAAGCCCGGGGGCTGCCCTCCAGCCTCCCCCTGCCATGGGGGCGGCCACGGGTGCATCCAGCAGCAGGGTGCCGGGGGCCTGGGGCTTGGGAGGAAAGGGGCTCTGCGAGTCTTACTTGGCCTTGGCGATGACCAAGGTGTCCCTGTAGAGGAGCAGCTCCCTCTTCCTGCTCCGCCGGCCCTCGGTCACCTTCACGCGCTGCCGGTGCAGCGGCTCGGGTGGTGCTGCCACGGGCTCAGGGTCGTCCCTGGGGAGCAGACGGCGTCGGGCATGAGCAAGGGGGCTGCCGCGGGGACCGGCCGTGCCGGCGTGTCCCCGAGCCATGGGGGGAGCTCACCTGGAGCCCTGGCAGCAGTTGACCTGTCCCATCTCAACGGCCTCACGCGGGACACAGCTGTGGGGCTGATGACAGTGCCCAGCTGGCCCACGCAAGGCTGCCAAGGGGGGTCGCGGTGCCAAAAACCACTCTCACAAGGACGCTGGGCAAGAGCTGGGCTCTGCCAGTGACGCTCGCTCGGTGCTGGCACAGCACTGTCCCTGCAGGGCCCTGGGGAGGTTGCCAGGCCAGCGCTGGGTTCACCATTGTGATGTCAAGACTGGCCAGGGGGGCCGTGGTGGGGGAGGGGCACTGGGGGGCTCTCCCCACTAAGACCATGGCTCTCGCCTACTTGACCTCCAGTCCAACCATCAACCAAACACTGCCAAAACCACCACTAAACCAAGTTGCTAAGCACCACATCTACCCATCATTCCAATCCCTCCAGGGACGGTGATGCCATTACTTCGCTGGGCAGCCTCAGCCTCTTCCAACGCTTGAGAGCTCTCTTGATGGAGAAATTTGTCACCACTTGTGACTGGCCTCCAACGGACTCCATTCACCAGTACTCTCTGGGTCTGGCCCTCTCCATGCTTTTTTATCCAGTGAAGCATGCACCCATCCAGGCCATAAGCAGCCAGTTTCTCCAGGATAATGCTGTGGGAAATGGTGACAAAGGCTTTACGAAAGTCTAGATAAACAACATCCCCTGAGCGGGTTACCAGACCTCCTGGAAGCTGGGAGTGTAGTTACTTAGGGCAGTGATTGCCATTGTTAATCATGAAGCAAAGATGGCATTGCCTTTGAAACACTTCAGATGCCAGCTCGGAGAGTCACATGCAAATTTCCATGCTCTTCTGACTCCTGCACAATCACTGCAAGACCTGCAGATCAGCCCTGCAATTGGTTTTGCCTGTTGTGGCTGGCACGTGTGTTTTCCCTTTGGAAAGGACCTCCACCCCTTTCAACATCAAAGAGGCGACCCAAAACTGACCAAGAGGGTGCTCCGTCCCACGTGCCTCATGTCAGTAGAAAAGCTGAGGGATGAAAGGCTGTATTCTCAGCAAGATTGCTGATGATACCAAATTAGGAGGACTGGCTGACACCCCAGAGGGCTGTGCCGCCATCCAGCGCGATCTGAACAGGCTGGAGAGCTGGGCAGAGAAGAACCTAATGAGGTTCAACAAGGACAAATGTAGGGTCCTCCACCTGGGGAGGAAGAACCCCAGGCACCAGTGCAGGTTAGGGATGGATCTTCTGGGAAGCACTACTGAGGAGAAAGATCTGGGCTGCATAGGAAAGAGTGTGGCCAGCAGGTCGAGGGAGGTCATTCTCCCTCTCTACTCTGCACTGGTGAGGCCACAACTGGAATACTGTGTCCAGTTCTGGGCCCCCCAGTTCAAGAGGGACAGGGAACTGCTGGAAAGAGTCCAGCGTAGGTCTATAAAGATGATTCAAGGACTGGAGCATCTCCTTTATGAGGAGAGGCTGAAAGAGCTGGGACTCTTTAGTCTGGAGAAGAGAAGGCTGAGGGGAGACCTTATTAGTGCCTACAAGTATCTCAAGGGCGGGCTGAGGGAGGAGGAAACCTGACTCTTTTCAGTAGTTACCCGTGAGAGGACAGGGGGCAATGGGCACAAGCTGGAACAGAAAGGGTTCCACTTGAATATGAGGAAGAACTTTTTCACGGTGAGGGTGACAGAGCCCTGGAACAGGCTGCCCAGGGAGGTTGTGGAGTCCCCTTCTTTGGAGATTTTCAAGACCCGCCTGGATGCAGTCCTGAGTGGCATGATCTGACACGCTCTGGGTGGTCCTGCTTTAGCAGGGGAGTTTGACTAGATGATCTCTATGGTCCCTTCCAACTCTAAAAATTCAGTGAAATTCAGTGAAATTTCCTTACCTAATTTATGAATATTTTATTCCCCTTACCGCCAAAAAAGCCCCTAATACTCCCTTTGGACAGAAATGGGAATGCAAACAACATTTATCTTTCAGGCACGTAATGGGGGGAATCTTTCTTCTCTCTTGCCACAAAGAATGAATCATAGAAATTTTAGGGAACCTAATTATGTCACTGAGGAAATACTGAGATGGTGATATGAATATTTTCTTCAAGATAACATGATGTTTGTGAGAGCTTTCTTTTATTTAAAAAGTACTGCAGAACTCAACTCTGGTCTATTTTTAAAATGATAGATTAAACAGAAAAATTGTAATTAAATATTATTCTGGTTGCTTTGCCTCAAAGAGACAAAAGGCCAAATGTCAATTTGAAATTAAACTTATATAGAAGCTGAGAGAACAATAAAGGGATGTATCAGTAAGTAAATTACAGCAGTTTGAAATACCCTGATTATCTTTTGCTTGTTGTTAAACCTCCAGGCAAATGCAACTCTCAGTCATACTGTGTTCCATGATAATACTATTGAAGAACCTGAGGCAATAAAACCATGTAAGTTTATGCTTGGTATGTATCCATGAAGACTTAATGGCTGCTTAATACAGATTTAAAACAGTTGCAAAAAGGGCCTGAGCATCGTGATACTCAATGCTGCAAAGCCTTAAACTTGCTCTACTCCAGATCAGGATTTGGTGATGCTGTGTCGGCCAATCTAAGTGTATGCTTCCCATGTGCTTAGTGCTCAGAGTGAAGAAGCTTCTCATGGGATCCACAACACCCATCTTACCAAGCAAGGAGATATTTAAAACGTTCCAAAGAGGAAACTAAGAGGAGGGTACTGCCAGAAACCATGAGACTGATTTTTAAATGCGGGCACTGCCTTGAAGACAGTCTCATGCTAATATATGCAAACAGGCTCAGGACCACCACCGCAACAGCTGGACATACTTCTGCCTCCCAGGCACAAGTGCCTCTGCCAGGCTGGGACTGAAGGCCAGAAATTGCCTAATTCATGCAGGTCCTAAGCATATAAAAGATGATCTGTTCTGTTTTCTTGGTCCTCTGCAGCATGGCTTACATCCTTAACTTTTTTTTTTTATGTGAGAAGGAAGGAGGTCCTTTCTTTCCACCACAGAAACATGTCTATACCAGTAGCAAATTAGATACCACAAGTGTAGGTTTCAATTCTTTTCGGAGCCAGGATAAATAATTTTTCTCACCAGCTATCTGAGAAAGAGCCTTTACAGCAAAACTAATACAAAACCAATATCCGCTGCCTCTGCTTCCTCTTTCTTTCTCCTTCCTCTGAAGGAGAAATGGAGGGCTATCGGATGCTATTTAGATGTTATTTGAACATGACAAATAAACCAGGCTCTTCAAGAGACTGTGGTGGGGGGACCTGCCAAACAGGTATGTGGGGTGAGCTTTCAGTGCACCTAAGATGGTGATATTTATAGGTATATGCAATAGTAAAACTCCAGTTAAATGAGCTTGCTCTGGAAAATTAGGAGACTATCATGTCTTAATTGCCTTAACAAGACCATACAGGGTTTTCTTGGATCACGGTGTTGGAATTAGGTGCTTTATTTCTAATTTGCACTCAATGTGACAATAGTTATTTTGTATAGGTAGAAGGTTATTTCGTAGGTAGAAGACCGATACTTGAGAGAGCTGGTGAGTTCTGAATCTTATTCTAACAAGGAACAAAAGCCCTTCGCAAGTTACTGCGACCTTATTTTCTGTTAGAAGTTAAACCATAGGCAGAACGTGTAGGAACATACACATTTGTAGGGAGTTTAGGAGCAATAACAAAAAAGACTTAAAGTTCATGCTGAAACAATGTCATTAGTACTTGTATGTTTTAATTTTTTTTCCTTTTTCTTTTTCTTTTGACTATTAAAAACCTTAAAATGGAGGTACAATTCTCTGGACAGTATATTTAAGTCTGTTCATGATATGTGTAATTCTCTTTGTTTCCTTCCAGAGATATATAGTGCTCACTCTCCCAGCACCATGAGTACCAACCTTTTCAAAGAGCTCCCTGTAGCCTTCCTCCTCGATTTTTCCAGATTCTCTTAGCCAGAGGCACATTTTTTTCTGCATTCCTGTTGTTTTTATGGCAGATATATTCAGCTATATTTCTCATTTTCTCTTACATAGAGCTACAGTTTGAGACCCTAAGGGCTTACAAGAAAAATGCAAAAATAGCACAAGAAGGAAGCTTCCAGAGAGTCTTCCTTCAGTGTGGGTAGAAACACAAGATTTTCAGCTCATTCTTCTACTGTTCCAAGGTCGTCTTTTTTTGAGAAGTGTTTTAGAGACAGAATCTGGATTTTCAAATTACTTTTTCATTCCTGTCTTTGACCAAAACCTGTCCATCAGAGGATTCAAGTGTAAACAGTGGACTCTACTTGGGAAGGGAGAAAAAACACAAAACTTTTGTATTTTTGATGTAATTAATGCTTGTTCCACTGCCTGCTGGTGAAGCAGGGAACTGGACCCACAGCCCAGCTTCTCTTGCGGTATCAGCACCTCCCTGTTATTTGCAGGCTCTGCTGTGACTGCCTCCGTTCCTCCTCGTCTCCACTCCAGCTTCCCTGCTCTTCCATGGCCAGGGTTCCACTTTCACACCTCTCCACCAGATACTGCTTCATCTGTCATCTTTTTGACCAAACTTTCCAAAAAAATCTAACTTCAGACTTTGCCTCCCTGGGTCTCCTATCCTTATCTGTGCTGAACACCTTCCCAGCACACCTTCCCAGCTTACAAAGACCTTTCAGGTTTGAATTAATCCTTCCCTCTGTCTGGGTTTTCACTGCACACTCTCCTCACGGTGTACCTTAGGCAGCTTTTCTATTCTGCCCTGATTTAGTGCCGAGGGACACAATGTTTAGAGAGGAAGAAGGAGACCTGTAAGGAAGCATTACTGATCTAAATTCCATTTTTAAGCACGATGAGAGCATTTAATGAGGGCAAATCAAAAGAGACAGAAAGAGCAACAACCACCAGTCAAATAGACTGAAAAAGCTAAGGAAAGTATTTTGTAAAGGCACTTTCTCCTTAAGCCCTTCCTTCTACATAGAACAGATGGCCCGATCTCAAAAATAAACATAAAAAATAAAGAGAACTGCAAGAGCTGTGAAGACAAATCCCCTTCTTTACAAATGTATAAAGAGCAGGAGGTCAGAGAGGGTGAGGCAGGAGGAGCCGTGGGGGTCAGCACAGGCAGCACGGTGACAAATGAGGTGGCGTTTGCTGGATGCCAAAACGATTCCCCTCTTTGCCAGGGATCAGGAGGCAAATGTGCCCAAAACAGATGTTTCCTAGAGACAGAAAATGAAACATTAATGAAAGCATTGGAAATACCTGAACATCAGAAAAAAAAGGTGTGTCTTGGGGAAGGAAAGCTCAGCAGAAACTGTTTCTGTGCTGCATTTCCTTCAACTCCGACAGCAGCGTGACTTCGATGTGCAGAGAACACAGAGACAGCATGAAAGGGTTTGTGCTCTATGTTAAACACAGGGAAAAACAAGTCATTTTTCATTCTTATAATACTACTACAGCTACTACTATTGCTACTAAAATAACACTAAAACAGGTCTATCCCAGCCTGATGATCACCAGACGAATTTGAAAGGAGCCATTTTAAAACCAGATCAGTCTCTTGCATATACAAAGTAATAAAACCACTCATTAATAAAAGATGTGGGAAAACTCTGCTGCCCAGACAAATGCAAATGTGATCACTGCCCTGAATTCAAGCCTGGAAAACTGCTAAAATGCCCCAAAGAAGCAGGACTTTGCCTAATAACTGAAAGTTTAAGTCCATCCTCCAAGTAATGAGTCTGGCAATATTAGTGTAATATGCTTCATACCCTTTGAAAAATAAACATTTCTGGTTTAGATACAATCTAAATGAGCTTGGAAATTAAAATAATTCTTCTTTGGCTTCAAATTAGATGGATTGCCCATGTCTGAACATTACTGCTGCTTAATTTAAGATGACATAGCAGCCTGGTGTTTTCATTTTTAATGTGGGAAGCTGCGATTATGAATAAGACCTTTCATCTCAGGGACACCAGTTTCAACTTTTTGAAAACTAGTAAAGGTCTATTTAAATGATGTCTTGGACACTGCTCAGGCTGGGTACCCTGAGAACATGTAAATTCATCTTACTTATGATAAATGGACTCATGAATAGTAATATTTCCAGTTTTTCCCCCTGCAGCTCTTCATGACAGGGTACATAATGAAGTATTTAAGATAAAATATTTCTTGGATGCTTTGATAAAACTCAGGATGGTGTACATTTGATTGACATCCTTCAAAATATTTCTGCCCTTACATTTTCATCTCACAGCCTCTACAGTAGGTATGCATCATACAGACAACTTGCAGGGAATTTTTTCCTTCCCAGTTACAAAAACAAAAGCTATCCTAAACAATGCTGTGGAAAATGTAGCCTGGAGATATTTCTAGCCTCATCTCTTCCAGATTTCTGATAGTATATATAAAATTGCTGCTACTTCGGCCACCAGGAACGGAAGTAAAGCAGTGGGTAAGTTCTACCTGCCTTTCTTGAGGAGTACCCTTGAAGCATATGATAGCGTTGAGCCCAGTACAAATATAGCAACCAGGACCACTTTCACAGCAAAAGGCATCATACATTTTAGACACGGGTGTAGACGTTGGAGCGCTACCTGAGAAAATGAAGTACCTTGATCCCAAAGCCCCCCCAGGCTGAGGGTATCTCCCAGAGGATGCTCTGCACGATCAAGTTACAGGCCAAGTTGCAGTGAGGAGAGAGGAAATGTCTATTTTATCAAATGGCAGTTGGATCTGATAGAAAGAGACAACCCTAGACCCATCTGCTCCTGGACAAGGGTACTTGCTGTTAGAAGACAGCAAGTACAGGGAGTGCCATGAGGGCACTGTGCTTCCAGCTGTGCTTCCAGGCTGGAAGCACGTGGAAGGCTTTTTTCATGAAGAAAAAGTGAACTTGTACATTTTGGGAAACTCTCAACAACACTGACTCCAGTACCATACCAGCACTCAGCACTGACATAAGAAGCAAACAAATTGCTTGTTCCTGTGGTTGTCAAATACCCCCTCTCTGCTTGAAACAGGTGCAGGAGTGGTTGACGAACAATTCAAAAGTACATTCAAAAAACATCATTGCAATATATGCACTTTAGGAGAGTAGAGTAGAAAGTAATCTTAGACAGGCAGAAACCAATTATTCCTTTAGTTTGTTAAGCCCTTTCCTAGCAGTTGGTCAGCAGAGGTAAGCAGGAGCTGTATCCAAATCATTGTTGCTACGAAGCCATCCCTGCACACTGAACATTGTCAGCACTTGCTGGTGAGAGGTTTACTGTTTGGGAGGCCCCTTCTAAAATGCAGTAGCCGAATTATTTAACATGCTGGAAATGCAACTGAATGGGAGTGCACAGGATGGAAAAGCTGCAATGCTAGGCTATAAAACAGAAGACAACTGGTCAGAGGATATAATTTTATCCATTTTTTTTTCCTATGGCAAGTATGCCACTTGTGAGAGCATGCTGAAGGGCTGCTTTAGGTCTGGAGTGAGCACTTTGAACATCTGAGAATCAGCAGGCAGCTTTGCAGTATATTAACTCCCAAGGCTGGGGAAACCCTTTTGCAAAGAGGTTGCATTCAGGGTTATTTCAGTGAGGAAGGAATCTCCCCTTTTTTTTTCTGTGCTCATATTAGACACCTGCATGTAAAACATTGAAGCTGTGGCTCCACTTTAAAGTAACTGCGAAGTTGCTAAGGATTTTAGACAGCCTCTTTCAGCAGTCTCAGTAAGAAGAGCATACAAAGCTCAGCTAAAGCTGAACTGCCATAAAACATGCAATAAAGACTTCTCTTTCTGTAATGTGCAGGGAGTAGCGATGAGATACTAGTCCAAGGGACTCTACATCAAGTTAGGGCTGTGCTGAGAAACAAAATTGCTGCTGTCAGTTATTTGCAGTTAAAGCAAAAGTAGAGCAGGGGGAAATATCAAACGCTTTTACAGTGCCCTAATGACCATGATTCAAGAACATTATTTACGTTTGGCAAAAAACCACAGAGTGAATCTAGCAAGGTAAAGCACAGCCGCTGCCACCGGCCACCGCAGGTTTTCACCAGCCAACCTGCCTGTCTCTGGGGAGGCCAAAAGCAAAGCTCAGTGGGTGATGGTCTTCAAGCCCGCGAGCAGCACCGAGCTGCCCTGTTAAGCTCTGTACTGCACTGGTGCTTCCACATCTCAGCTTGACCAGCACTCAGCTGCTGTCAGCTGGTCCTATCCTCTCTCCTTCCCAGGCGGCACCGCTTTCCCCCTGCCTGGCCAGGTGAAGGGTGTAGGGAAGGAAAGCAATGGGTAAACTCACCTTCAAGTCTCGCCTGACATAGAGAACATCCTTTGCAAACACTCCTATGGAAATATTTCCACACATAACACTGAAGAGAGCATGGATAAAACCCTCTTCTAATGTCTCTAAGATCAATAATCTTGCAGGCCTGTGCATGGCAAGATTGTACAATTATTAAGAAGTCTTATAAGCCTCTAAGATGAGTTAAAAATGCTATTTCACCATCAAGATACAGAAATTTGCCCCTCTTTCAGTGACTGGCTTGTTATAACCTCACATATTTTAGTTGCCAGTAGCTGCAAATGCTCCAGAAGAAAACAGAAGATGCATGTAAAAAACTAGCCCAAAAATATTTTTTTTTAATTTCTACAATCAGGAACTGACTAAATTGTTACATATTATTTCTAGCAGCTAAACAATCTCATAATGGCTGGAGGACTATTGAAATGTGCTTTGATTGCTGAACTGGTATATGACTTAATTTAAAAAACTGCAGAATTATCAGGATTTCTTCTCCAAAAAGTTTGGAAGACTGCTGATACATTTGGAAGCGTCTATTCTACTATTCTTCTAGGTTCTTTTCCCTCCTAATATGAATGAAGAATACTTTTGACCTTCTAAATTGCAAATGTTTATGTTTATAGATCACATTGATTTGAACTCTAATAATTTAGACAGAACTCCTTTAATGTCTACAGCCATTTTATTTATGAGTTACATTTACAGAGTACAGGGGAAAAGTAGACAGCAATTTTCTCTTAATTTTTTGGTATGCTAAAATGCGGAAGAATTATAAGAATCCACCAGGCTTGGACAGTGGATAAGAATCCCTTCAGGCTTGGTATTTCTATTAGCTTTCTGCTAATGTTATATCTACAATGTAGGGTTTAATTATTATGCTTAATGAGATATTCAAAAGATTCTCACTTCTATGGAGCTACTAAAACTGTAGCTACAGTTAATCAATAGTGCAATAGTAAACCAGACCGTATGTCTGGGTCAGATTTCTCTTATATAAATGTAGTCCTGCAAAATCCATACATGAACTCTGTGTAGTGACCTGGACTGTCTTTATAGCTACTTGGAGGAGAGAAGGTGAGTAATCTGCCCTCAGGTAGCCCTGAAGCCCGGGAACTGCCTTACAGGGGTTGGTCCCCTTGGCAAGGCAGGGAGCAGAGCTCCCTGCTTTAGCCCCAGTGCCTCACTTGTAGGTAGCTTAAGTTAGATAAGAAGGACTGATACCCCCATCTCTTGAGATCAGTGCAGCCATTTTTGTAGGATACAGGGTATTCTCTTTATTTGCGTCACTTCTAGTCACGTTAAGACTTATGAGAATTATACAAAGCTAAATCTTTGGAAAAGAGCATCAGTCACATGCCACAAATGTAATTCATGAGAGTTCAAAGTAAAGGATACAGTTTTGATTTATAATTCTTACATTTTCCTGCACTGTGCCTGTCTTCCCTGTGGAGACCAAGCTGAGTGGTGCTGTTGATACACCTGAGGGATGGAATGCCATCCAGAGGGACCTGGATGTGCACAAGAAGTGGGCCCGTGAGAACCTCATGAAGTTCAACAAGGCCAAGTACAGGGTCCTGTACCTGTCTTGGGGCAACCCATGGTATCAATACAGGCTGGGGATGAAGGGATTGAGAGAAGCCCTGCCAAGAAGGACTTGGGGGTCCTTGTGGATGAAAAGCTGGACATGAGCTGACAACGTGCATTTGCAGCCCAGAAAACCAACTGTATCCTGGGCTGCATCAAAAGAAGCATAGCCAGAAGATTTAGGAACATGCTTTTGCCCCCCTACTCTGCTCTGGTGAGACCCTACCTGGAGTACTGTGTTGAGTTCTGAAGCCCTCAGTACAGGACATGGACCTGTTGGAGAGGGTCCAGAGAAGGGCCACAAAAACAGTCAGAGGGATGGAGCATCTCTCCTGTGAGGACAG